CAAAAGAGAATAACTCCCATGGAGACTCAAAGCAGGATCGCTCGAATACATGTTGCTTAACTTCCTGAAGCCAATATATTTTTGTTTATTGTGCTCAGTCATCATTTACATCCTTTTTTACCATTTACCCTTCCAGTTTAGTCTTCCAGTTCACACTGCACCTAAAGTGCCTTGGAAAAGGTCAGAGATATACTTCATTGGAAAAACCAATATAATGTGAAACCTGTCGTCAAATTTCAATATGGATCAGTCTTTCTTTCAGCGTCAACTTGATCTGCTAGCAGGGCTGGCAGCGCTGTCGGATCGCTGTGACGCCAGTTCCCTTCAACAACTCCTGTCATGCGTCTCTCTGTGTTCTGCACACCATCCGGTCATCATCCACGCCAAATCCAGTACGTTTCTCATTTAATTCTGTCTTTCTCTCCTAGTTTTGGGCTTGTAGAACTCCAAACTGCATACGACCAAGAAAGTGGTGCACAAGAACTAGCTTTGTAAAATGAGAAGCCACAGTATCTTTTAGTGAAATATTCAAGAACATAAGCCCACAAAATTTTGCGTGTGCCTGTAGGGTGCAACTCATACAGGTGTAAAAAAGATGTGGGCTGCTGATCGATCAGTACGGCACCATCCACTGTTGCCTGAACCATGATCTTGACAGTTCAACTTCACCCACCACGTGACACAAGGAAACCCCCGATGAGCACTCCTCAGTGATTTTGTGGTCTGAAACCACAGCTCACTCGGAAGTTGACAGACCCACCATTTTTCTCGAAAAAAACATGGCTGACGCATGAGCAAGCAGAAATGAGATCCTTTCGCCCAGTGGACATCCTGGCATTCGTGAGAATTTTTGCAAAAATGAGCCCGGAATTTTCCTTTGCGATGCGATTCACGAGGAAGGAAACGGTGCTAGGGCACGTATAGAGGCAAAAGTCCAAAGAGTTTCCCAGGCCGAACACGACCACACTCCGAGCTCCCTTCCCCTCTCCCGTTGGAGATTCTCGGTGAGGGACGTACCGCTTTCATATAGAGTAGCAACAAAGGAAAACCGATGAGCACTCCTCAGTGATTTTGTGGTCTGAAACCACAGCTCACTCGGAAGCCAAAGTTACATTTACCGCTCTGAGGAGAACTTCGTCTTAATGATACGGAGAGAAACATTTCCCCTGAACGCCACCCATTGTAGTTGCTTTTTTTCGGGCCTGGAATTATACCCGGATCAGATCGATTTGGTGGGGGCATTTTGCTGACTCCCGCTGATAGCTGCTCATGCTTCCTGTGAAGAACTGCAAACGTTTGTAAAGAGCAGGAGCTTCGTTCACACTTCATTCTGCAGGTCTCACGAATGAAATGAGAAAGAAAAAAGAAATGGTCCAACAGGAACACCGAAGGAAACTAGCGAAATTGTAAGATGCCCTCCCAACGCTGAGCACCGCCATTATTCCCTACTGCCTAGGAAAAGTAGTTAATATTCATGGAAACTATTTGCAGGGTTGGTACAAAGGATCGTGACTCGAGATCCGGTCAGAATGAAGGATGCGTCTCAAGTTTGTGTGCACCTACTCAACCCGTTGGTAATAGGATTGAGCTGCAAAGAACTGAGGTAGGACCACAGTTTTCCCTTGTGCTATAGGGTCTGTCAACTGCAACTTACTTGACTGTTGAATCTCATAAACTTTCTTTATGGTGCGTTACAGTTGCACCTTCCCTAACTCCCCCCCCCCTTTTCCTTAAATTACCCTATGGATGACCCTTCAGCTCCGCCCACTTCGACGACGTCATGAGTAGCGTGCGAATTCTCTTGGACTTGGTGGAACAGCTCCGTTATGAGTCCGATGATCGGCTTCAGCAACAGCAACTCGGGCTCGGGTAAGTTTACCCAACTTGTCAACTTGGTGCTTAAGCCTTTTGACCATATAACCGTCTTCCTTTTCAGACGAATGGGTAATCGGCGAGTGTCAATGAGCAGTACGAATCTTCCTCGGGTAATGATCAGTGCCGCACGTCCGTCTTTCTCTAATGATTCGAGGTGCGTTTTCAGCTCAAAACCACTTTTTTTCTTCTATTCGAGCTTTTCACCGGTAGTGCTGCCGCCATTGTCACCTTTTGCCCTCCTGCAGCTGCCTTTATACCCAGCGAGCATATAGCTGGGAGTATTAGCTGCGAATGGCATACCTAGGTCTTTAAGGGATGCCAACATTGGTAGCGACCTTCTCAGCTCTAATCGATGCAAGCAAGGTGAGAACAATTTCGCCGAGTATAGACGCAGCTGTGCAAACGATGAATCACTGCACCACTAAATCTATCCCTTCTTCATGTTTTCTACACATGAGCCTTGAAGACACAGTTCGCGGTTGCCTTGAAGTATGGGATGCCTTCCTTAAACAAGGTAGTTTGGGGCGGCGCCACGGCGGATAGACCACATTTGCAAAATGAGTGGAAAGACTGTCAGAGGCTTGCCACGAAATTTAGACCCCACCACCAGATATCTATCCCTGCTCTTTCCGCTCAATCTCACTGTGTGGCACAGTGTCGCTAACTCACAGTCTCGCTTGTCTGTGCTCTGTTGTTGTTTCGTCGTATGGTCCTCCTTTGCATGGTCACTGTCTCTTCGCTTTCTCTCGCTTTTCCTCACTTTCTCTCCACCTTCCCCTTGTTCTGGACCCTATTGCCCACGATCTGCAATCGCGAACTGTGTCTTTAAAAAACATTCTTCATCGGAAAAGTTTTCATGAAAACTCTAATGTGTTTGTCTCCGTGCAAGCATGCACGCCGCTGTCAGCCGACGGTCGACTAGAAGATCGAGGTCGACGAGAATCGAGAGACAGTCGAGGATCTCTCGAAAGCGACATGAGCATTCGTATCGGTGAATAACTTTTGAGCCTCCTAATTCATTATTCTCTATGTGGGCTATCGCTTCATTGCTTCGTAGCCTTTCCCCACATGCTTGAAAAAGCAAATTTTGATTGAGCTCATCTCGTTTGACAATTGCTATCAATTCATTTGTTCTAGGTAACAGCTCAGATGTGTCGGAAGACTCCTGTCACAGCGCTGTGTCGCAAACAGCTCGAGGGCGACGACAATCATGGCTAGAGTGCTATGCGCATTCGATGTCACTTGAACAAGGTGCCTCCTTTGGTGACACGAAGGACGCACTCGGGTAGGGTGATCATTCGCTTCAGAATTCAATCAGATATTATTTTCCTAACTATGTTGTTCTACTTTAATGCCAACCAAGCTTGCTGTTGTTGACACCTGTCTCAATCTCAAAAGGATCAACTTGTTTATTGGTCAAGGTTTCAAGCGGATTTTTGAGAATTAAAGGCAGTTGGCACAATAATTTCTACTGTAACACTTTGTCTAAAATCTATCAGGGGGAAAGGGCGAAAAAAACGAAAGGAAACGGTAAAAACCTGCGAAAAAACCTTCGTTCTTAATAATTCAGAAAGCAATTTCGGACGAGTTTCCCGTGGGTATTGTGCCAATAACCGCTACGGTAGATACGGCTGCATGTATGTATAGTGTAGTTCGCTGCGGACGGTTGGGCGTGTCAGGCGGGATGAGTTTGGCGCGGTGCCAAACCCGTTCTCCACCAGTTGTTAAAGCGAGCAAATGATATGACTGTATCATATCGTTCGTATTACTCGTTTCTACCACTTTTTGTCGCATGCGCGCTTCAACAAGAAGGCAGAGAACGGCTTTGACGGCGTGACACACTCATACTGCCTGACACGCCCAACCGTCCGCAGCGAACTAGAGTGTACTCATATGTCCATGCAACACCGCGGCTACTTCATCCCTTTTACTTCGCAAATGAAGCGATACGAGTAACAGGTACGGCCGTCCACTTGCGGGGTGGCGGTAAGCATCCGGGTCGGTATGTTGCGGCTTGATAGAGCTCTGTAAAAGAACCTTCCTCGGAAAAGGCGCCACGTAGCGCTTATTTAGCGGCGCCGAATTCGATCCTCCTAGGCGTGTTAGTCCTACACTAATGTTAGTTGCGGACTGACATTATACACACACGACTGACACTACACTATCCTGCCAACTGACTTTGAAGTCAAACTGTACACTCACCTTCTCAGTCTGAGTCCCTACAAATGTCACAGAGTGGTCACTCAGACAGCTCTAATCCAGCTGAAGGCACGGGAGGAGTGACTAAAGTGGTATGGGCACGCGCTGAGAAGGCCCGAGGAACCCCCAATAAGGAGGCACTGGATTTCGAAGCCCAAGGAAGCGACAACGAGGAGCTTCAAGGAAAAGGTGGAGGAGCGTGATCAAGAAAGACCTCACTGAAGTGAAGGCCACGGCAGAGGACGCCCTGGATAGGAGAAGATGGCGACTGTTAACAAGAACAGCGGACCCTGCAACGGCGCGAGATTAACGCAAGGGAGAAGACCAGTCCCTCAAACTGGCTCTTCAGGTGATGCCGAATTTCTGGACAGACCCACACACAGATAGACAGAACAGACAGACGTTCCCGTTGATATATAGTAGGACTAGTAGGATAAACAATGGAGGTCCTCTTAAAACCAAATTTCTCACCAAGGATCTCTGCAAAACCAAACTTTTTCACCAAATGAGTACGATGGCAGAACGTCATAACGGCAGAATAGTTGGTCTGTCAGTATGACCCTATACACCCCTTGATTCCAGTTTTACTCCCCTGCATTGGACCGTCCAATTCCCTTCACGCTTTGACACCACACATTCACACACCACTTTTCTAAAAGAAAAACATCGTTGCAACTGAAAGTGCTTGGAGACCTAAAACAATGTGAGATGTGGACGTGGAATGTTCCAAAAATGTTTTTCTTTCTTCGAATTTAAGCTTTTCTGAATTCTTCAGGAACACTGTCTTCCACATATCACGTCTAAATATTGAGTGTTTCAGTCTGAAACGAGGTGGTGGCCGCTGCTCGGAACGAAGGGCTCGAACAGATCGCCGAATCAGATGGATCCTGACATTCGACAGGTGCCCGCTCGACCGAATAGTTTCACGAATCTCGGCCATAATCTGGTGCTCACCTACCGTACGCTTTGGAACAAAGACCATTGAATGCGGAACATTCCTGTAGCCTTCAAGCTGTTCCCGGTTTATCTGAGTGCCCTCTTCCCATATCCGTCTCCTCCGTGTACGTCTCATCCACGGTTATTTAGTTCTATCGCTGCCGGTCGTTACTTCAAGTTATCCAGCTTTTTCTGCGGGGCATCGATCTCGGGATTGTTCCAAAGAAAATTCTGCATCTGATATCATAACCTGAACTGTACTTAGACCTTAAAGAAGTTGTAGAAGCCACACCCCATGCGGTAGTGCAGGTAAGCGGCTTTCTCTGAATGGAGAGCCTGGCACGTTCTGGCTTTTGGGGAATTTTTCCTCGACTAATACGGACCTCGCCAATTCCCTTCGGTGCGACACACATAACCAGTTCTCATTCTTCTGCAAACCTTAAAGGAACCAAATACACCCCCTCTTGGGAAATCAGCGTACGACGTTGCTCTCATATTGAGCGTTGTTTATCTTCAAGTGTTTGTTATTATTATTCTATAATATCGCGTGAGGTTGAGGCTCGTGCGGCCAATCTCACGCAGACATATTGTAGCAGTTAGCGTATCGATGAGTCTTTGACCAGCTGTGTGTTTCACGATTGTATTCTTGCCTTATTCCATCGATTATCAGTGATATTGTTGATATGTGTACGGTATATTTCAACGACCACTACTGCCGATTGGCGCGAAATTGCGGACCTACAAGGTGGTCAACATTTTGGGCTTGTGTGCTAGGCCGCAGTTGTCGTTGACGTCACTTTCATTTCTATGTATAAAGTCTCTTATTAGATTCGGGGAGTTCCTCGCAGATGGATAGCTGCTTGTTAGGATGATAGCATTCCGTTAAAGACACATTGGTACGCTCAAACATTGAGGGGTGGTATTTAGGACTTACAAGCCCCCAGATTGCGATATGTCGTGGTCCCGCCAACATGCCAGGAATTGGGATAACAGGGCCGTGAAGACACGCTAATTTTCCATGGCTCACGCCCACGGCCTTTTACTGGCGGAAGATTTTTTTTCCCTTCAAAAACATCCGGGTCGTAAGCGCGCTGTCGTCGTGCGGCTTCCTTGGGCACTTTGGCAAAGTCCAAAAAAAAAATTGCGCTCTCAAATACGAGTAAAACGCAATTTCCTGATGCGGATAACATTGGAGGTGCTACAAAATAAGAACAGAAGATGATGACGAGGGCCAGAACTCAAGAGCAACTCGGCTGCATCTGCAGTATCCATCAAGGGCCGCGCATTCCACAAAACATGAAAATAAAAACAGCCCAAGCGTCCCACTCGTTTGTTCTAAGTATTTCTATGGCTTTGGCGCCGGATCGTAGAAATTTACAGGCCAGTTTATCTAATTTGCCTTTCCTTGATTTTTTCATTTTTGTTTTGTTTACATTTACATCGTTGTGCTTCATTTCTAGCCTGTGTCATCTTCATCTCCTTGTACATGGATTTTGAAGCATGAGCAACACCTAAAATTTTATTCGCATCAGGAAATTGCGTCTTGCTTGTATTAAACTAACGAGTATGCCGTTTTATTTTCATGTTTCGTGGAAGTAGCGCGGCCTCTGATGGATTCTGCGGATGCAGCCGAGTTGCTCTTGAGTTCTGGCCCTCGTCATCATCTTCTGTTCTTATTTTGTAGCACCTCCAATGTTATCCGCATCAGGAAATTGTTTTACTCGTATTGAGAGCGCAATTAAAGGACTTGGCAAAGTGCCAAGGAGCCGCACGCGACAGGCGCGCTTACGACGGATGTTATGAACGGCGGGAATCTGCGCCGTAAAAAGGCAGTGGGCGGAGCATGGAAGAATTAGCGTGTTTCACGGCCCTGTATCTCCATTCCTGGAAGAGATGTTTGGGCGTGGACAGCACATATCGGACATTGGGGGGTGATAGTCTCATATCACCCTCAATCGTGTATGAGCGTACTTATGTGTCTTAAGAAAGGACATCTGATCTGCTCTTAAATGAAGGACAATGCCGCGTTCATATATACAGTCTTGTCGGTGGAGGAGAGTCTTTAGGGGTACGGTTTGTGCGGAGCCAACTTTCATTATTCACAAACTGCCAGAGCGAACATAAACAAGCTTTTGCCGGGTAAGAACAGGCTAGAGTCGCGGGCCAGTCCCCTAGACAGGTCTCAGCATCCGCATAGCGAAACAGGACTGTACATAGTATACATACAATCCTTATCCCTGTTGCAAATAAGGCGTGCAGTGAACATGGCACAGAATGTTACTCGTGGCTTATTACACTCTGAGACAACTATCATCTTGTTCAGTGTCGGACAGAGGCACGACCAGGACTGCGTAAAAATGAAAACACCTCTTCCAAAGCCACCCTCGCGCTTAGTTGAAGTATGCCACCACGCCTACCACATCTCAGAGATTTCAAATGTATACATGCATACATAGACACACATACATACGCGTACATACAGTCCTCATCATTGCGGACCGGTGGGGCGTGGCAGTGCGGCTGCGTTTGGTGCGGTTCGGCAAAATCGTTCTGCACCAGTTTTTGAAGCGGGCAAGTGCATTACTGTATTATTCCTTCGTATTACTCGTTTTCTACCACTTTTTGTCGCATACGCGTTGCAACAAAAAAGGCTGAGACACCGCTTTCAACAGTGGTGCGCGTCCTTCTGGCTGACACGCCACCGGATCTCATATGATTGAGAATGTATAACCTTCCCCTCGACGTTGAAGTTCGCCCCAGTACCAAGGATCCATGGAGGAGAGTGTTCAATTTGTCCTCAGGGAAGAAAATGCTGATCAGAACCCCTTTTGAGTATCGCTCACGAACTACTAATAAATTCATAAACATTGATTTCATGAGAAACGCAGCAGCTCGCAAAGCGTGCAAATGGTGGTCAAGTACACTCCTTAATCCCTGCAGACGGACGTGGCGTAGCCTTGGAGCCACTGGCATAGGACGCTTACTTGTGCGATATCTCAATTTGAAAACAACTGCTTATTGTTCTGTTTAGGATCGTTAGGACATGATTGCGACTGCTCCCGAAATGAAGATAATCTAATGAGAACCTGGGAGCTGCTGCATTTTTAAAATTAATGTACGCGCCACGCCTACGACCCAAATCTCAAGCGATTTCGAGTATAGTAAGATGCTTTGGCAGTCATGAAAAAAGAAAACGCACAAATGGTGAGTTCCAAAACGAATGCTCATGATGTTTAGCTTGCTAAATATATTTTTTATCAATGGAGGAAAGAGGCAATGTATGCTGTGGCAAATGGCCACGCACCGTCCTAGGGTCAAATCCCAGCTCGCTTCCCGTACACGACCCCACTTTCCCTTCGGATATGTGTCGAGATCGTCTGGGCATAAAGATCAAGAGCATGATCTCGCACAGTCGACCGGTCATTGTTACATCGCCTTAGACTCACTTAGCAATCTAACAGAATGTGTATAGAATAACAAAGATTCTGAACAACAGTGAAATTGGATATTTATTAACTTGAAGTGAATTCCCGCGCATCAAATGGCTTCGCGCAAAAGCCTCTGCGGCATTGGCATCGTTGTTCGCAATTCGCAGGGAGTATACCATTTTAACCACTCGAAACGGCGAGATGAAGAAGCTAAAGGCGCGTGATTATTGCAACCATTGCAACCACGATTACTGTGCCCCCCCCCCCCCCCCCCGGCAACGGCTCACAAGCGGAACTGCCGTGTATGCATGGCGTTGCTTGTGAGCGTTTGTTTCATATGCTGTTTCGGTGGTCGGTTCGCACGTCGAACGCTGCTGATTTGGGCTGACGGCTCCTACAGAGTTCAATCAAGCGCGCCACTGCTAGGGCTCTATTCAGAGTCACCAATTTCTCTTCTTCATGTAAACCTCGGCATTAGGAAATAGGGACTTGGCGTCGCATGGGGTATAAAAAAACAAAGCACTAAACGTTTCAAAGCCAGCAGGAAGCACTCAGTTTTGCGCCTGCCAGGCGCTGGTAGTTCTATAGGGAGAGCCTCCCCCTGGGCAGCAGCCCTGCCGAACCTTCGGGAAGAGTCCTCTCTGCGTATGGGTTTGACCGCTCATGCGCTTAGATTTAGGTCAAAAAATGCTCAAATCAGCGCACAAAATTACTTCGTCCACACCAGGTTCCACACGGTTAGGGCTGATCACTACTTACTCAATGAATTTGGAAATGATAGCAAGGGTTGCAAATGCAACAAAATTGTACGAGGCCTGTAGTAATCACAGAAAACGAATAACTCATCAGCCTACCACATGTTACAGCGACTGTACTGAAAGAAAGAATCGGAGAACATGTTACCAACACATACACGCAAAAGATACATACGCCCTTGTACAATCATTTTAAAAAATGTAACAAGGGTTTTTCTGTACAAGTGCTGGACTCTCAGAAGGATAATGATAAAACCACCCTTCTCGAAAAAGAAATGTTTTGGATAAAACTGCTCATGACACCATATCCTTTTGGGTTGAATGATAACATTAAAGGTTATGGAAATATCACAAATGTGGACAACCCTCTCCTGTACAAAGGCAATCATCCGTTCTTTTCGCTTAAGATTACGAAGCAAAGAATTAATAGAGGAAAGAGAACCAACAGATGCAAGAAAGGAATTACATATAATAGCGTCATAGAAGAAATCACCAACAGTACAGAAACACTGAAGCCTATACAATACTTCAGACTACTTAAAAGCCTTCGTAAGGAAGAAATCAACAAGATCATTAAACTCTCGATGTCTGTGAATTTTCTACAGACCGTAAACAACAAAACAAAATATTTGATATTTTGCTTGTTAGCTTACTTTCACCATGGTTCAGTCATCGAAGAAAAACCCAGAAAGAATTTTCATAACATTGAAGTCAGCTTCAGAAGCAGAATATTTAACGAGATACACTTCAACAGAATTTTTAATTCACGCACTGTCAAAGAAATATTGCTTAATGGGAATGATTGTAACTTCACACCTATCAGAATAATTTATAAGTATAATAACACAATGGCGACCAGAATATGCAATTATAACAAATTGTTAA